TACACGCACGTTTCACCGTCACCGGACACCGCGTACCGGGAACAGCGACAGCGGTTCCGTTATCGTCGGCAGCGATGCAATTGTAATGACGCACCGCGTCGTCTGCGTTGTCCTCTTCCTCAACCTTCCTCCCCTCCTTCGCCCCGCTCCTCCTCCTTCTCCTCCTTCTCGCCCTCATCTTCGTCGTGGTCGTGCCTCGTGCGTTTTTCAAAGTGCAGCTGATGCACTTTGGCGTGGCTGGATGCTGACGACTTTGTATCTGCGCGACCGGCGCAAACAATCTAACGCTGATTACAGCCGGGGAAGTCCACCCTCTCCACCCCTTATCGGGACCGGCCCCGATTTTTTTCGGAATGCAAAACAGTCGCGCTCGGAGTCGAGTACGGAGTACGGGGGGCGGGGGGGGGGAGATTTATCTCGATCGACGTCTCATTGTTTAAAGTTCGTTACGGGCGGGAGAGTGCCCTTGCGAGAGGATTAAGCGTGTACGGGATATTACGGGCGTTTCGAGAATCCACCCTGTTTAGATCGGCCTTATCTTTCGCGCGATTTGGATCTTATATACTTCCGCTCTCTCTGGATACGGCGCGCTCTGGGCGTGTGTCGATAATTACGGCCGGCCGGCCGGCCGGCCGGCCGATATCAATTAATTCGGCCATTACGATTCGAGAGCGCGCGCAATCGTTATCTTTCTACATAAATTGCCGTGCGGATATTCCTCGTTGTAATTGCGCGCGATAAACGGCTTGTAAAAAAAAAGAAGTGGTAAATCATTGAAAATTTGATTGTAATCTAATGTTGATAATTCACCGTAATTATTGTAATTATCATCGCAGGCATCGCGTATCATTTATTACTGCTTTATTATTATTTTCGTTCCTTTAATTCTTATTACGTTGCGGAGTTTAATCGCAACTTCCGTCGGTTATCACTCGACAGTAAATATGTTAAAAAGTATGGATAAATCATTCATTATCTCTTCAAATTCGTCTTTTTTTGACAGGCAGTCTGCTCTTCGTTGAGCGTGCGCTTTATATCGTATCGAAACGAGGTAGTTAAATCGCTCGATAAAAGCTCCCAGGGGGGGAACCACGGTCCCCGTATTTGATGTTTTTTGTCTGTTGCAAACGCCCACGAGACGCCCCTGTCCCGAGGGGCTCGATCGAACGCCGCCCCTGCATACGTGAGCTCGACTTAATTTCCAACTGCGCGTTAAATAATTAAATAATTACGGTCTTTTAACCCTCAAACATACGTTATCTATTTCGTTATTATAAACATTATCATAAATGGTATTCTCTTACATTCTCTTATTTTCTGGAATCAAGTGGAATCATATATATGCATTTAAGTATAAAGATTTCAAGAATCGATAATTTTAAGTATTCATCAAAATTTTCTATTCCTTATTCTGAAACGAATAATTTTACTTCAGAATAATCAATTATATTAATTTAAAAAAGTGGACTGTCAAGATTTGTCGAGAGCAAGATTTGCAAAATCTGTCTTTAATTAAACCAAATCATAATTTTACACAATTTTATTTACATTTCTAGTAATTCTGTCTCACGCAAATTAGTTTTTTGATGACAAATAAACACAAGTAAAGCTAATCACAATTTGTTGCACAATACGTGCACAATTCCAGTATAGTCGAAATAGTTAAGGCTTCTTTTGTTTCGCAAATAATTTTTATAAATTTATTTCTGTATAAGCCAAAAGCAAATAACAATAATTAATTATTTTCGCACATTTTGGCGAATGTATTTTATTAAAAAGTTATCATTATCATCCCCCTTACTTGGAAATAAAATCCGTCGTTGACGGATCATCAAACAAAATATTTAAGTTTCAAGTTTTCTGCTGACTGCACATCAGCAGAAGCGTCAGCGAGGAGTGTCTTTATCGAAGGATAAATAGATCCGACTGATCCATGCGAATCGTGGTCACGGAGTCTTCTCGCGAGGGAGGAAGTGGGAAGCACCATCGTGACGGGACCAGTACACAGTACACATCGTGCCACGGGGAAGATATCGAATTTCTTATGGCTTCTGTGTATTCCCATGGGCAGAAACAGGAGGTCAGAGATGCGTATATCTACGAGGTGTTCGCGAATTAACGCATCCGCCTCAAAGCGACGCGTTCGTGGATCAAGCAGAATGACGATTTAATATTGATCGACGACGTCATCAAGTTCAATTCTAACTTCAGATATTGTGAGATAACATGAAATTTATCTTTTTTAAAAACTTGAAAGTCGATACTTGAACTTAAGAGGTTCCATCAATTTCGAATCATAATTTAAACGATGCATTTTTGCAAAAAATAAGTGGTTCGCGAAAATATAATTTATTAAAAAATATAATTGCGCGCGCGCGCGCGCGCGTGTGTGTGTGTGTGTGTGTGTGTGTGTGTGTGTAACTGACAAAAATTTATATAAATTAAACTGGTCATTTGATATTGATACAAGATTTAATTCCAGAGCAAAGTCCGTATTCAAGAATACAATCCTGTAGGCATCCATATTTATGAGTATGGGTTTTACAAACCCATACTCCGATGGCTTTGCGAATATACGTGTATGGCATCATTCACCGTATATTAATTACAGGAAACCCTGCAAAGCATCTGTGCTTCCGAATCACCCTAATATCATCACAAATATTGTATATCCGTGCCCGTTCAACTGTTCGAATCGAATTTGCGTGTTCATATTTCACGAATAATATATATAATAATAATAATATATATAAAATAATATAATATATAATAATTTTGTTCTTTCGGATTTTTCCGAAATATAATAATCCACTTTAAATCGCTCAAAAGAACTAGCAACTCCAATATTATGTTATGTATAATTGTCTTATTAATATTGTACTTCAATTTAATCCATTAAAAAATATAACTTTCCGTTTTACAATACAATAAATGTAGTATTTTTATCTATAAAGAAACATGGGTTCTATCGTCAGAAATAAATAATGATCTCACATTTGCCTAAACTAAAAAAATATAGCTTGATATTCAAAGATAATTTCTATGCGATGGATTCACATCCGGTCTAATCGATCGATCAAGGAGGAAGATATATCACGGCGTACTTTCCGCTTATCAAAACGACACTTTGCCATTTCGCCGTAAGGTGGTAGGTTTCGCGAGAAAAAAAATTCCGCAAGAGATCGACTCTCTGTCAACATGGCCCAGATGGCCCAGCTGGTAGTTATTTATTTATTATCCGCTTTGCTCGCTCGCTCGGCGAGGAGGAGGACGGCACGAGAGCCGTGTATGCACGCATGCGACACGATGCTCTCGATGCTACGCGGCGGAAGGCATCGCGTTACGTACATAGTTATGGGGCCTCCGCTCGTTTCTAAAATCGGATGTAGAGCAACGACCTTCCAAACAACACGGGACTCGTACGGGCCGCGCGCGCTTCTATCCGCGAGGGACGAAAATTCCGGACGCTAACGTCCGTCAGTTCTACATCTGCGTGCCGTCGGACGCGTAAGAACGCCGCCAGATATTATCCGTCTGACGAAGTCAAGCTAAATAAAACGGATTATTATTCGTCGCGATGTTTATTAATATCTAATATTCTAATCGCGCGTTAGCCTCGTGTTACATACGCTCGGTATATACGCTATGTGTCCCCGTTATATTTCCTGTCGTATTACGATTTTACATATTTTTCTGTATAATCTATTTTAGCACAATTTAGCATAATTTGATTTTCATAGAGAAATATAGAAGTATAACGGAGAAAGCCCGATCCCTTTCCCCGTTTGACCCAATTTGACGTTGGGACGATTGTTCATTTCCTGACATAACTAGATTTCACTTTTCATTATTATCACTTTTGAATTATTTATTAAACTTTAATGTATATTAATTGTATCTATTCCAAAAATATTTGTTAAA